GTATGATCAAAAGTCACACAACAAAAAACGCACATTTTTACGATATCTCTAATTTTAGTCCCTTCCCTTTTCACCTTTTCTTAAAAGGAAAGTTTGGAAGGAAAAGTGGATTTGACGGTGGAGGACCGGCATAGAAAGGGGAAATGTCCTCTTTATGTGCGTCTCCTCCTCCGTCAATTAAGGGTAGGCAACGCATCTGCAATTGCGGATGTCTATAAGCAGCGGTCGCTTTCCATTTCATTGGATTCAGGTGACCGCTTCCTCGTTTGCCTTATTATAAAAAAAGCGATTCCAACAGGAAATGCTTTATCTCTTGTTAAAGCTTATCCCTCAACTCTTTACAGTACATATATTTGTGTATGATTCCAGGAATGTCTAGGCCCGGGCCCACCAGCGACGTTCTTATGCGCGGCTAATGGCGCGCGACGCTCCGTTTTGTGGGATGGTCAACCACTAAGACAGAAGTTCGCAGCGCTCGCCACGCCACAGTTCAAAGTATTTAGGGTTGAGGTGAGTTATGCTTTAAATGGATGAATAATTATTCTTGTAATAAACGTACCTTAATGTTTGCTACGTCTTCTCTCTCCAATATCATCATCATCTCCCCCCTCCTACTCCCATAGGGTCGTCGCACCGGGTTCTCTACAATATCAGCACAGAATTTTACTTAAGGTTTCGTTTTTCAAGCCAGGTCTACCAATGTGTTTTCTCAGTTTTTCTCCGCACTCATAGAAAGGCATAGTGCAGCGTTGACTGCTGTGGCTATTAATTTTCCAGGTGCAAGCACACCGCGAGGCCAGGGTACGTCTCCTGTTGCCGCCAGGGTTGAGAGAAACTGATGATCTGCCTCTACCGCTTGTTTTACATGTGTGAGTTATGATACCATATGATTTTCTTCTTTCTTCGTTCTTCTGTGATCACCAATTGTAATTTTCTTTAACTCGCATAGTTCGATAGTTAGATGCCTATAATATAAGTGATTCTGATACACTTTAATATGTTTAATAATAATGTTCCAGTTCAGCGGAGCCTGGCGGTCAGCTGGTGACTGAGAGGTGGAAGCCTGACTGGGGCTGGTACCTCGCGTCCGCTAGGAACTTCATCGTTGCCGAGATCGATGCGAGGGGATCGGGTGGGCAGGTGAGATAACTTTTTAATGAACTATCAGTGCTTTTTAATTTCTGCCCGAGGGCTGTGAAATTGTGTTTTTATTATATTTACTAATAGACACTCCTTTGTTTTAAGGGTGAGGAGCTAAGGACTGAAATATACCAGAAGATGCTGTCCGTAGATGTAGAAGACCAAATAGCTGTACTTTCGTAAGTTCTCAGTTGTCAAATATTTATTCATTCAAAATTCAAATTTAGCGAAATTCAAGAAGAGCAAAATTCAAAGAATACAGTCCAGTAGCGTTTCCATATCAATTATAGAGATGAATTAAAAAATTACTCAAAGCGAATTTGACAAAAGAGGACATCAAAAGACTAAGCACGAATAGCCGCATTTAAGCAATCCCACGGTAGATTACCTAGATTAAATCTTCTAAATTCATTAAAATGTATACAGTTATCTCCGTGACAACCTGAAGATGGTAGACGGGTCTCGCGTGGGGCTGTGGGGGCGCGGCTACGGCGGCGGCGCGGCGGCCGCGGCGGCGGCGGGCGACGCGCGCAACGTCACACGCTGCCTGGCCGCCATCGCGCCACTCGCTGACTTACGGAGGCACAGTAAGATCTATACTTCATTAGTACTTTTGCTGGGCATTTACCAATTATTCAAATCCTCTGTAGACTTCACAACCATTTTCGATAGGCGTTGTAAAAATTGGCAACTAGTGTGCTTCAGTTGTATGACCAGTCTTCAATCAAGTCCAAACACTGTGGTTCTGCAATCGTGTTTTGTAGAGCTGACTTATCAGGTGACATGTCATTGTAGAAGTGAATTTTGAATATATTGATTAGTGTAATATTTGTTAGCCATTTCGTGTTCTATCTATAATTTTTTGTCTTTTTTATTATTTACTGGCTTTCGCCCGCGACTCCGGACGCGTTGAATAAAAAATATATGCCTATGTGTTCTTCTAGAATTCATCGAGATCAAGAGAGAGGTTTTCAAATTAAACTGCTGAAGACTGCAGTTTAGTTTACAAACTCTAACAAATATCCATCCATCTAATCTTTCGCATTTATGATATTCGTAAGTTATATGTATGTTGTAGACTCGTACTGGACGGAACGGCACGGCGGCGCGGCGGCGAGCGGCGCGGCGGGCGCGGTGTGGCGGCGCGCGGGCAACCTGCCGCCGCGCCGCGTCCTGCTCGCACACGCCACCGCGGACGAGCGCGCGCCGCCGGACCATGCTCTCGCTCTCGCACGCGCCTTAGTCAGAGCACAGGCGCTGTACACACACCAGGTATATCCATCTCTTTTCTTTCCATTCGATTATATCTTTCGTCTCTATCGTGTAACGATATGTGACGCGTCTTATACCTCCGCTAGTACTTTTAAGATTAAAGCAGTTTGTATGATGATTGAAGTGACCCAATCTTTTGCTATTATCTCCTTGGCAACATAATAATATTATAAATACGAAAGTTTAGATGGATGGATAGATGGATGTTTGTAAGAGTTTGTAGCCTAAACGGCTGATCAGATTTCCTTGAAATTTGATTTGGATGTAGAGGATACTTTTTACACTTTTGTTTTTTTTTTATTTCACGCGAACGGAGTCGCGGGCGAAAGCTAGTATTGTAATAAACGATGTATCTAATTATTTCAGATCTATCCAGATGAGGGACATTATTTTGAAAAATCGTACATGCATCTACATAAAACAATGGAGCAATTCTTCGACGAGTGCTTCGGTCCAGTGGAACTGGCAGACTGGGATGCTGGCGGAGTCGGCGGTCTCTTTCCTTTCCGAGACTAGTTAGCAAGAGGACTTTAAGTGTACTGACAGAATAAAGACATAGACAAGCGTCGAGCATAGATAATGTCAAATTTGACATGTCACAGATAAATAAATTCTACATATGATATGACAATTCATGTCATTTTTCTCATGTTTCGTGAAGAAGGAAACTGAATATTGCATTTATTTAGAATTATCTTAAAAGGCTCATGATTTAGTGTTTGGATTCAAGCATCAGGCTCTAAGAAAGTGTAATTTTATAATTTAAAATTAAACGATTTTAGCTGTAAAATTAAACCTCTAGTTGTCTACAGAACCAAAAGAGAAAACATTAAACAGATAACATTAAAACCGAATTCAAATGAAAAAAAATGAAAACAATATCACTATACGAAATAATTGATTGATTACAACTTCGTGCCCGTTTTACGGATAAATAATAATGTAGGTTTTTTAAGTAAACTTGTTCAATAGAACAAGCATTTACTGCCAAAACATAAATTATATAATTTAATCGAAAGTATTGAAAATGGTAGTTATTTTACAAAAGTATTTTTTCCTTTTTTTGTGAATACTTTTAAATGTATTTAGATAATACATAGATGATGAAATATGCCTAATTAAATAAAATATTTAAAAAGATGTCAGGAAATAAAATAATATGAAATTTAATGAAATATCGATGTTAATAATTCATAGAATATTTTTAAATTGTGTATTATAGTCGGTGGACAATTTTTTAAATGAGTTTTTGTTTTTTTTTACTTTTTTTTTCAACTATGTGATTCTTTAGAAATATGGCTGTATTATTTTGTCCATAAATGTATTGGTAAAAGTGATAAAACAATATGTATGAATTTTTATTTCATATTTCAAAAATATGACAAATTCGCGCCATTTTACAAAATGGCGGATTTCTTTTAGTAAAGTGAATTAAAGAGATGAATGAATTATTTAAAATTGTTCAATATAATATTTAATTCGTATATTGGTTAATAAATTGTTCACAGACTATTTAAGGAGAGGAAAGCTCCCGAGAAATTTTCTTATGATTATTATAAGAGACAAAATTCTATATTTTAGTGTAAATGTATCAACCGATTTGTCTAGTATATATTTCTATGTCGCTTTGGATGTCACCGTAAAATCAGAATTAGCTTTAAATTAAAAAAAAATAGCGTAAGCGGTACTCAAATGACATTTTATCTCCACTATTGCGTTTCTAATAAGATTGTGCATAACCTCATTCTGTCAACATGTCATCTGACGTCACAATATGGCGCTGGTTCATATACAATCTTATTTTATACGCATACTTATCTATCGGTGGAAATGTAGAATCTAAAATCTAATAAAGATATATTTAGAAAACTATATATTCTTGTAGACATCATTTGATGGAAATAAAAAAATGAAGTCATATTTATTTAAATACAGACTAAATAGCAGCTAGCTAATGAATAGAACGAATGTTAAAAAAAATTCTGTTTGGTCACTTTATTTCATTAAATCATACATTTCTTTAATTATAAAGGTTCTTAGGGTCATCGTAGAGGAAAATTGAAGAAGTCCAATGTGATTCATTAATGATACAAACCTTTAAAACAAATGTTAAGTTATATTTTATTTATTTCGTTAATTAGTTTAGTAACCACCTTAGTACAAAAAAAAAATGCTCCTGATGAAAAAGTATCAGCAATGTTGCTAGTCATAAAAATGTTGGAACATATTTTATCATAGTCGAATTATTTATATAAATATGTCGATATCATAGCTATCATATCAAATCAAATGTTACATATTTTGTTATACAAATATAGAAATCACTCATAATCATTAGCTTATTATTTTGCTGTATAAAATTACATTCTAAAATTAAACGTCAACATTGTGTGGTTTTCGATTGCCGTGGGACTTGTATATATGTTGTCTCTGTTCTTTTCAAAGAGAATGAGCGAGATAGCAATATGTCAAAACAAGTTTAAGGGCCTGTCCCGCCTAATTGCAAATTGTCTGATAATAATTGAAAGATTTCATGGAAATATCGAGTTTTTCTCCCTTATTCGACAGTGACGTAATTTTTAAGCTATCTAAGCCTGAGCCTGTGGTGGGACAGGTCTTTTAGTAGTCATTCGGACAACCTGCACATTGTCATCACTTTCATTCCCTTAGAAAAAAAGAGAAAGTAATATGTATTTGACAGTTGTTAAGGGAAAACATTACGGTTAGTTCATCAATTCCTAGCTTCTCTTAACTACAAAATGTTTCCAATTTTCCTTCTCAGTGTTGAATATACTAAAATATGTAAAAGTGATATATATATTTACGCGAGATGTGTTTGTGGCAATGTTCGAACGGTATGTTGTATATTTATGTTGAAATGTTGTTTTTATATAAAATGAATAAATAAATTATTGTTCCCAAATATGTTGGTTTTATTTAGTTTTATTATAAATGTACTTTCCTATACTACTATCATTGACGTTTGACAATTTTTCAACTACACATTTCACGTTATAAGGATGAAATTATTTTTTACTCATAGCAGCTTCAATAACACGAGATATTATTCTATATAGTTCTGTTTTTTGATCCAAATTGTATAATGTATTGTCTCTCTTAGAATGTGCCGGATTAATTTTTTTACTTCTACTAATTTCAACGTTCAAATTATATTTATTGACATTTCTATTCTTTTCACCATCTGACAAATATAATAATGTCAATAATGAATTATTCCCAGGTTTGAAAATACCATCAGCACTTTTTAACTGGTGAGGTATTCTATTGAATTTTCCAACGTCTATAGTTTCTGTAGTTGTACTTAGGAATCTATGCCTATCTAATTTAGTCGCGTAAACTGAACGTGAAGTTTTAGTTGTTGCATCAGTAGAGACCTCTCTTAGTATCTGATTGAAGTCAATTTCATCTAACAAATTCGCGATAACTTCTTCACCTGGGATATCGGTGGCATCATCGGACGACGTTCCTGAACTCTCTCTGGATGCAGATTTAGCCTCCGATTGGTCAACAATCTGATCAACATTGTCTATTTTTTCTCGATTATTTGATTCTACTTGTTTGTCGATGGATTGTTCAGAATCACCGGAATCTGGTGCCAATTCAAGATATATCTCCTGTATTTCCTCTGTAGTTGTAACTGGCAACTCATAGATATTTTTTTTATTTGTTTCTTGTTTAATTCTTTCACTTTTCGGTTTATGTTTTTGTTCAGAAACATATTTACTGTATGATTCTTCGACGTCGATATTTTCTGTCACTGGGACACGTTCCGGCATTTCGTATGTATCGACAGGTATGATTTGTGTTCTAGGACTTTCTATTTCAGAATCATATGCATATGTTGACGCTGGTTGTACAGAAACTTGAGTCATTGTCTCCACGACTTTGCTTTTGGTTGCCTTTATCTTAGTCTGTGTTTTCTCTTTAGTATCTCTTAATATATTCGGGTCTTGTTGTATCACGTCTTCATATTTCTTCACTTCCTTGCTACCGAACATCGTTTCTAGAAACTCTTGGAATAATTTATCATCAAGTGTACGTAATGCATTATCGTGTTCTTCGTACTCCGTATCATCGAGAATAGAAGGTGGTTTACCACCCAACAGAGGTTCTATTTTAAACGTCGTAGTTCCCGGAGTTGTGGTTAAATATTGTTCGTAAGGATCCAATGTGTATTTTGTTGTTACTTTCTTTTTACTATGAGGCACATGCTGTAAAGAATTTTTTTTATAATATAATGTGGCAAACAAGCAAGCGGCCACCTGAATCCACCGAAATGGAAAGCGACCGCTGCCCATAAACATCAGCAAATGCAGAAGCATTGCCTACCCTTAATTGACGGAGGAGACGCACACAAAAAGGACTTTTTCCTTCCTATGCGTCTCCTCCACCGTCAAATCCACTTTTCCATCCGATCCTTTCCTCTTAAGAAAAGGGTGGAAAGGGAAAGAGACTAAAATTAGGCACTCGGTACCACACTCATCCGACGAAACGCGGAATTGCTTCCACTTCACTACTGTCTTCTGAGTGGTCGTGGTATTTCACCGGGCGAGCTAGCCCATTCGTGCAAAGATGTTAAGCGGGCTCTACCACTGCTAAAATATTTCGCATATGCAACGTTTTTCTTTTAACAATATATCAGTATCTAAAAATTAACTGATTTGAGGAGTGTAGGTGGTTTAGAAGTGACTTTACTTGTAATCTACAAGTCCTGAGTTTGAATCCCGCTTAACAATGTAATTTTCCATTTACATATGTATATAATTTACTCGACGTTCTAACAGTGAAAAAGAAAATCGTGAAGCAACCTGCATATATAGAAGAAATTCAGAGATATGTGTGAAGTCAAGCCGCAATAGGCCAGCGTTGTTGACAGTCTAGTCACACCTAACTTAGAGTAGTGTCCGAGCCCCCCAGTGGGGGCGTATGCTGATGGGTTCAGAGATGATGTTTGAAAAACATAATAAATACCAGATCCATGATAGTCTGTATCCATTGGTAGTAGTAGCCGACCTTAGTGAAGACAGTTGGCGCATCAGGTGTGCCACAAACTGGAGATCCGAAACTGACCACACCAACTAGCGTACCACCGATAATTCCCGGTGCACCTACGTCACGCTATCAACAAACAAGAGTCCAAAGAATTAGTATTCAAATTAACTCTAAACGCCATTCATTAAACCAGTAATCGCATTTCTACTGGAGGCGACTGCAATATGAAATTACAATAGCTGGAAGCCTGTCAAGAGTCAAGTGAAAAAAGGGTCTAAAATGAAAAATATGCGAAAAATACACACGTTGCAAGCACCGCCACCTTTCGAGAAGAAACCACCGCAAAAGTTTAGTTTTGTGACGTACTCCCTGTAAAGTAAATAAGGTGTTTTCAATCTCTATTCTCTTCTTGAGTATATTACGTAGGGAAATGCAGTCGCAACTTACTTGGTATAAACTTCTTGACATTCTCTGGTCGGGTAAACATCAAGATGTGAATATGACAGTATGTTATGAAACGGATCACCCACTTTATTACTGGACTGGAATACAAAAAGATAAACTGTCATCACAGTTTTATCCAAACGGACAAAAATGCAAAACATAAGTCAGATATTTTTAGATACCTAAATACTTAAAATTGTGGTAAAGTAACTCAAAAAGTGTATTTTTTAATTGTAATATTGTTTAATTAACGTAACACAAATATCAATTATAATCCTTTGTTCAATTAATAACGATTTTTCGAATAAAATTGACCACTTCATGATAGTCGAGAGCAATCTAATATAATAATGCGAGGATGGATGTTTGTTAGAGTTTGTAGCCTAAACGGCTAAACGGATCTGGTTGAAATCTGGCATAGATGTAGAGCATAGTCTGGAAGAACACATTGGCTATTTACTTTTGTTCTATTCAATACCGCAAGCACGGAATCGCGGGCGAAAGCTACTAAACATTAAAACGTACTCTCTAATGACATCAAAGATGTTATGATCAACTGATTTGGTAATTGGTCTTACAGATTTAGCTCCCCATCCAATTATGGTTATTCCTGGTGTATTTACAGGTAAATTCCAAGGATGTTTGTCTATTGCTATCTTCTTCACTCTCTTTATATTAGCCTTTATAAATTCTATATGCCTCTCAAGACGTAACACGCATATGTTATTCCAAAGACTCTTAGGATTGTACTCGGGATGGAAGTAAATCTCTAAAACCGCTATTCTTTCCCCACCGCTGTTGTAGAATGATGAACCAACGCGGACAGCTAGGAAAGCCGGATTCTCTCTATAGAAACGATTATTCCAAGCCCTAAAAAATTAAATAGAAATGGAGAAATTGCAAACTGTTAGAGAGTTATCACGAAAAGTGAGAATGTTTTTGTAACGTCATTTCGAAAAAAAATCTCACTTTTCGTGATCTTCACTAATATTATAAAGAGGAGAGTTTTCTATTTTTGTATGTATGTGATTTACGTAAAAAATATTAGGTCGATTTTAAAATTTCTTTCGACAATGCTTTTTACTTTTTTTTTTAAATCGAGTCTCGAGCAACAACTAGTAATTAGATAAAACTCAATTTGCATGTGACATGCCGGTGTATTTTTGCTGTTTATGTTTCTACAGGAATAACTGATTTCATAATATCTTACAATTGCAGACACGAAGACGCAGTAATAACAAGGTCCGATTTAATTATAGAACCAGCACATTGGAACACATCGAAGATCTGAATACTGGCCATGAACGGATAGTGTTTGATTTTTGTCCTCTCCCCTTTGTAAATACGTCGACCGCTCGGAACTAAAAGACAAAAGAACATTGCTGTAAACCCTGACATCCATACTTGGACAATTCGTAACGTCATTGTAAACATTTGTTTTAGATTTGTGCAACCGCATGTAGACCAATAAATCTCATACAAATGTCGATGACGTTACGAAAACTTTGTCGCAAGTTTTCATGATAAGCCCTCATTTGAGGGCTTATCATGAAAACTTTAACCATTTGGTTAGCCCCGCTGCATTCTTATATTAATATTTTCGATGTAATATTTTATACAAGTGACATATTGCTGTAAATACTAACCCCAATATTCACTACTGTCAAATAAATTATTACGGTCATCGTTCGAAATAGAAACATTTTTATTTTTCGCTCTGAAACTTGCTTGTCTAGATTCTTCTAGAAGTTTAATTATATTAGAATTAATATCTGTATAAACTTTATTGACTCCATAACTTTCTTTCAGTGCTTCAAGTTTTTCTAGAAAATTATCTACATAAAGAAGTACGTTCGTATCTTCGTTTGAGGTTATGTTATTTTCTTTTGAACATTGTCCTTCGTCCAACAATTCGTTTATAGCTGTCGTTAAATTTTCCGTTCTGTTATTATATATTTTATAGTCAATTCTAGTGAGTCGAGCCACTTCCCTCAATGTATTCGAATGTCGAAATGTAATAGATAAAAAATAGTGATGTAATGTTGAAAATTCTTTGATCCTTGTGCTGTTTGAATGTTTGATAAATTTTAAATTCGATAAAATGTTATTAGTGGTGTTTCTTATGATTTTTTCTGTTCTTACAAGATCGTCCACTTCGAATTTTGGGAGTTCGATCAGCGCTTTAAAACGATGGATTACGCTGAATAAAATGATCACGAATAATTTATCGAAAACAGAAAACATGAGAAATTACGTTATGTACCAAAACGACTTGTAAATTAATACGTTCACTATAAAAGAAACACTTTTTCACACAAAACTTGTTTTATTTTTCTTATCTGGAACATGTTATTGGGTAAGAAAATTTATTTTTACGATTTATTGCGAAATTTTATCGAGTATGTAAACAATATATAAAACATACATAAGCAGCACCTAATTTTTATATATTCTACAACTAGCTGTTGTCTGCGACTTCGTCCAATAGAAAATATAACTTAGTTTTTCATTCCCCATTGTGAATTATTAAAAGCCCAGTAGTTTTTATGATAATTCAATACATACAAAAACAAGTTGAAAAAAAAGTACTCACTTGACTTTTACCAAATCACTTTCCATTGATAGTCATTTCTTCAATCCATTAAAAAGAAAGTTTGAAAAACTCTTATTTACAGTCTTTAAACTAAACAAATACCGATCGGACATTAAAAAACTATTAGATTAAAATGTCAAAATGAGATTTTATATACCGTGTTAATTTAAGTCTGAGGGTCTATCATGAACTGACATTTTGTGATAAGTAACGTAACGTCATGTCATTTGTTGTTTTAACCCCGATAGGGGCGCTGTACACGTCTAATACAAATATCGATGACGTTACGATAACGTTCTCACGAATATTCGTAATACACCCTTTTTGGTTTGTTTTTCAAGTAAAGAGTTTTTAATTGTTTTCAAGTGAAAGAGAATGGGGATGAAATAGGAGTGTTTCGGGTGTAATAAAACAATTGGTTTATTGGAATCACATTTATCTTATAGATTTATTTCGCTTATAATACAATTGTCTACTCTAGTCTCAGTAACCAGAAAGCGCTACACCATCTGAAATAAAAACACTAATGAGATATACAAACTGTTATGACATTTAAAACTACACTAAGTGTATGTTAAATATTGTTTTAATGGCTCTGAACAGGAAGGTATGATGGATAAAGAAACTAGCTGTTTTCGTGCGGCTTCATCTGCATTAAATTATAAAAACTTAACTTTATTGTTTACATTTGTAAATTTTCTAAACTTTCGCATTTATAATATTAGTAAGTTAGAAATCATATAAAAATTATAAATGCGAAAGTTTAGATGGATGGATGTTTGTCAGCGTTTGTAGCCTAAACTGCTGAACAGATCTCCATGAAATTTGGCACAGGTTTAGAGCATAGTCTGGAAGAACATATTTATCCCGGGAATAGTTACGGTTCCCGTGGGATTTATTAATTTAGTTTTTTAATGTTTTCTCGATTATTCTGCAACGGTTCAACATATCGTATTGAAATTTGGCACAGACATAAAACAAACAGGGATAATGTTCATCCCCGAGAAATGTCCGGTTCCCGAGGGATACGTAGCTTTTTGTTATTTATATTGTGCGTATGTTTTCTAATGCCACGCGGACGAAGTCGCGGTCAACAGCTAGTATTGATATAAATAGATTATTGTGTATACTTACAGTTTACTTCCAGCGGTTGTTCTCATAGTCCCACTTGGAGGAAAGTCCATCGATGGGGTTGACCTTGAGGTCCAGCATCCTCTTCAGCTGGGCCTTCTGCGCGTCCTCGTCGAACGACGCCGGCAGAGGACTGTACACTGGTAAGGGGAGAGGAATGTTTAATATAGCACAAGGAAATTAGAAAATTTTACTTAGCCCATAACTTGTAAGTTTTGTATAAGTTAACTTAAATGGGATATAGAATGAATGATTTTAGATAATAAATTGTTTTTGTTAGATTTTAAATCTATAAAAAAAACTCCTGAAGATTTGTGGTAGAAATGCAGAACTTAAACTATATTTTAATAATTTAGATTCGTATTTCATAGATTATCATATTTAATTAAAAAAAAATTATACTAATATAATAACAAACATTTGTATTTTTGTATATAATAGATTCAAAAACTACTGGAACAAATTCAAAATGCATGGAACAAAATATGACCATTCATATAGTATTTAAAGCCTATGTTACTTAGTGGTAAAACAATTTAATGGTGAAAGAATCTTTATAATAGGCACAGTAGTTTTTGAGTTATTTCAATACATACAAAATACAAATATTTTCATCTTTAATATTAGTATATATTAGTCAATACTAGATTTTTTTTAATATTAGTAGACTTCTGTTAATTTACTAATATTTCCTTTAACCATTCCAACTAAGCTAGGCTTGTGCTAGGATATGGTTTACAACAGTCGAATAGCGGGGAACCCCCGACCACAAGATTGGTAGTCCATACCCCAAACCATTAGGCTATTCATCATCACCAGCTCATTATATGTCCCCACCGAGGGGCTCGGAGCCTACCCTAATGTTAGGGTGATTAGGCCATAGTCAAACCACGCTGGCCAGGTGCGGGTTGGTTGACTTCACACACATCTTTGAATTTCTTCGCGGATATGTGCAGGTTGCATCACGATGTTTTCCTTCACCGTAAGAACGTCAGGTAAATTATGTACATATGAAAATTCGAAAAATCGAAAATCACATTGGTACATGGCGGGATTCGAACCCAAGACCTGTAGATTACAAGTCAAGTGCTTAAACCACTGAGCCACCGACGCTCTTTGACTGAGCCACCGACGCTCTTCTCTAGGCTATTGGCAACATCTAATCAAACCCTAACATAAATTAAGAAATAGTACAAATAAAATAACTTACCGAACAATTTCATTCCCATGTAAACCCATAGAGATAGAGAGATGAACACAAGAGACCAGCCGACGACTCCCTTCCACTCTCCAGTAGGAGCCTGGAACTCTGCGAACGTCTGGCAGAAAGAAGCGCGGTACAACGCTTTCTTCTCCTCTAAAGTCAGTTTACGCCAATCACCCCTTTCCTTTTCACGGAGAACCTGATATTAAAAATAAAAAAAATATACAACTAATATAATTAACAGATTTTTTTAGTAATTTGATATCTTACTTATATAATAAACTAGCTTTCCCCCTCGATTGCGTCCGCATGGAATTAAAAAAAAGAAAAGTAAGTGGCCTATGACTTCCAGACTATCCTCTACATCTATGACAAATTTCATCTAAATCTTTTCAGCAGTTTAAGCTACAAACTCTAAGAAACATCCATCCATCCAAACTTTCACGTTTATAATATTAGTAAGATGTAAATGGATGTTTGTTAGAGTTTGTAGCCTGAACTCCTGAATGGATCTTGATGAAATTTGTCATAGATGTAGAGGATAGTCTGGAAGAACACTTAAGATACTTACTTTTGTTTTTATAATCCCATGTGGATGGGATAGATAGTAACTAATAAAATTGAATTAAAATAGAGAAAAAAACATGCATTTGAATTGGCAATATAATTTTTTTTTATCTATTTGTCTGTTATTTTCTTTTTCATGTGTTACTGCATATCTCCGGCCCTAGGGGACATTTGCGAGTCCCTTGTTTACTACACTATAATTAATAGAGGTTACCTTAACATCAGGTGTGTCAGGGCGGAACCTGACAGCGGGTAGAGGGAAGTCAGGCCTGTCTACGTAGGTCGGCTGGCCATTGTAGCCATAGCCCACCCATTCACGGTTGCCAATCTGTAATAGAAAAATTTAAATCAAAAAAACCACCAATGTTGTTGAACATCTTCGTGTTCTCACTGATAATTTGCTCCCTTCTCAAACATTGTTCTTTACAAAAACAAACCGAAGAGCCCCGAACCCATCGGTGGGGACATATAATGAGCTGGTGCTGATGATGATGTTTTTTTATAATACAAGTTGACAAACAAGCAAGCTGCCACCTGAATCTACCGAAATGGAAAGCTACCGCTACCCATAGACTTCCGCAATTGTAGATGCGTTCCCTACCCTTATTGATGGAGGAGACGCACATAAAGAGGACATTTCCCCTTCCTGAGTCTCCTCCACCATCAAATCCACTTTTCCTTCCCACTTAAGAAAAGGGTGGAAAGGGAAAGTGTAAAAAATAGGCCTCTGGCACCACACTCATCAGACGAAACGCAAAATTGCTTCCACTTACACCTGTCTTCTGTATGGTCGTGGTATTCGGCGTGGTATTCGTGCGAAGATGTTAAAGCAGGGTCTACCACTGTAGATTGATGATGATTATCTTAGTTTAACTATCTTACCTTGGCCAGCTCACTGGATGCTCTGGTGCCCACTGGGACACGAATAGCGTCTATTATAGCACGACGTAATAAATAGTTGGCCATTGTTCTGTAAAAAAAATACATAAAACTGTATTAGTAGTGAAGAATGATATAAGAGGGTAATAATCATGTAACATTCAGTTTTGGTTTAGAAGATTAACCCAATAAGTTTGGTATGTAATTCAGTTTCAAATACATAGATTTTTTTTTATGTTAAAGATAATTTAATGTAATATTCTGTAAAGTTAATCTAATACAGTCCGTACATTGTTTTTTTATAACACCAGTACGTAAAATTAAACAAAAATAAACGTTCTCGATTTAAACTTTTTTGTTTTTTTATGTGGTTAATGTCAAATTACGAATACACTTTGACAAAAAGTAACCATAATTGACGCATTGCAGTCCAGGACCATTTTTAGTTTTAAACCATATAAGCGTACCTTATATACGTTTATAGGTTAATTAAATAAGACTACGTTATTGAAATTGATAAATTGTGATAACAGGTAAGGTTAGAACTGCAAGTATCGATTTTGGTTACATAACATGAAAAAATATAAAAATCAATATATTACTTTTGACAATTACGTGATTAGAAATTGTTTTTAAATTAGATGAAGGACAGTACCGAGAAAATTATGGTTAATTCAATATAACTAGCGATACTTACATTTTGAAATAAGAACGTCTACTTGACTACTACGTCGATTAAATACAGACTTACCCATGATTTGAAGAGCATATGTAAAACTAAAAGCTGTGCAACATAAAAACACTAATTCAAATATAACATTTAACTTTACCTTATTTTATTTAACTTCTATCCCTGGTGGATTTTTGACCAACACCACCCGAGTTGTGAAAAAAGCAGCGACATCTAACAACAACTTCCCAAACTAAAATACGTTCCGTTTCCTCAATATAATGTTGAAACTAAGTTTGAAGTATCTCTATTTTGATATATTTTTTTTTATTTTATTAATTATCTTAACTTAAATAATATTTTATTGTTCCAATATTCATAAAGAAAGATGAATTGTAAAAGATTTTTATTGGATGAATCAGTAAAAGAACAGCATTTAATTTCTAAAACACAGAGTACAGATATACTCCCAATAATGTTTAAATTAATAAGTCTTACTTATTTGCAATACTCATACCAATCTCTATATTATAATTTATATCTGAATCACTTTCGTAATTACGCGAAACATCTTGATGGGATTCTTTTTTAACAAAGCTTTCTTCCTTTGATTTTTTCTCATTTCCATGCGACTGATTTGTACGAATCTTAGAGATCTTTTGATATTTTTTTGGAATGTCCGTCGTATCACCTAGGAATATCAAATCTAAAGTCTCCTTTGAATCTACATTACTTTTTGCTCTGTCATTTGTTTTTGTTTCATCATTTGATATTCCTAGGTCTTGATCGAGGTTTTTAGCAAATAGATTTATTAATTTCGTTGGTAGGCTACGGTATAAATCTTTTATGAAATTCGGAACTTCTATATGTGATGTTAGTTGTACAACAGTGTTAATAATATTTGATTCTTCTTCTTCCTCGTCTATATTGTCGTTTGTAGTTTCCGTTCTTTCTGTCGGAGTACGCTTGTTTAAATCTTTTCTGTCTTCTTTATAATAAGTCTGAATGAGAGCTAATATTTGATTTGCTTTTTCCACGTCTTCATCATCACCTAAGGGTTGATCCTGGGAAGAACACCATTAATTCTTTCTCTATAGTCTAGACTTAGTGGATGCGGGAAGCACAGGACCGATTAGCGTAGCGATCTTTGGGGGAAACCTATGCCCAGCAGTGGGCATCGTATGGCTGAATAGTAGACCAAACAAAGGCTTAATCTATAGCTATATATTCTTAAATTTACCTCTTCAAGAACCGTTTCGATCCAATTCCTGTAATAACCGAGCTTGGTGAAGACAGTGGGCGCGTCAGGGATGCCACAAACAGGCGAACCAAAGCTGATGACACCCACTAGCAGTCCATCGAGAATACCAGGGCCACCGACGTCTCTCTTTATGAAAATTAAATAAAAACACTGTGATTTAATTAATCGAAAATTACTGGCTGGAAACTTTGATGTGGTGATAATGAAATTTAAATAAATAAAAAAAACAATCAATTAGCTGTTTCCAATTAAGATAAAACTCACATTGCATGCTCCACCGCCTTTTGAGATGAATCCGGCACAAAAATTTTTCAGCGTCACGTATTTCCTATAAACATATTTATATGCATTTTGTACTTTTATGAATTGAGAAAACCTAAAGAAAAAAAACAATAAAAAAAACTGAATATTAAGTTATCTTACTCAGTATATAAACTCTGACAATCTTTGATATGATACATATTTAAATGTGAGTATGACAGACGCTCTGATACGAAGTTGTCATCATCTATCTGCAAAGAAAAAGCACAGTATTCAAGTATCTCATTGGTTTTAAGAAAGCAGTACTAGTAATTCTCAAATTATTTTGTCGTAACAATCAATGTGCTGGTTTACCATTCAATCTATCTTCTTTCAAACGTCACAAATCAGAGTTTAAATTGTTCGCGAAATCGTCTACATATTGCTGACTTTTAACACTTGGCATACGGGGAACGTTTTTTTAAAATATTTGCAGCCTGTCTCTGGAGCGCGGGTCATGTAAAAATACGTATTTAGAACATTTGTTAATAACATACATTGTAGTTTTCGATTCCCTGCGATATATCCCCGCTTTTGTAAACCGCTGCAAATGTAATTCAGCGCAAAGAACCCACGCCAAGTGTTAAAATAGTTTGGTTCTTATTTCTATAACGTTCTAAATGCTTACATGCTTAGCTCCCCAACCGAGAGCAGTAACTTCATCGATATTAATAGGAATCTGTTCAGGTAATGTGTCATAATCTACACGCCTTATTTTTGCCTTTTTAGTTTGCTTCTCGTCAATTTTCATATCACAGTCCATTTTGAGTATAGCCAAATTATTTGCTAAGATCGTTGGATCGTATTCCGGGTGAATATGTACAGTTATAACTGGAAACGTCTTACCACCGCGATCCACGAAATCACTGCCTACCCTGATAAATACATTTTGAGGCTTTGGTGAGAGATCGTCGTCGCTAAAAAGAAATGTTATTAAGATGAGCTGTCGCCCGCAAACTTTTTTCAGCAAAGGATCACCCGATACGCCATTTTAACAGTAAGGAATTTCAAAAAGTAGCCTATAATAATCCCGTCTATCATAACTACCCTTCAGTAAAAGTTCGGTCGAAATTGGCCCAGCCGTTACGGAGATTATCCGGAACAAACGGATTGCGGACAGACATAAAAATTTTAAAATTGGATTTTTGGTCTCAGCAATGCAAATACATCATCTTCCCGAAATCTGGAATTTTTCTATTGATACTACAGACACTCCAATATTACTACATATATCTTTAGAAGATGGATAGATAGAAAAGTTTTCCGAAAAAAGACAAAGAAAGGCACGAATAGTTGTATAGATCGTCACTTGTTTTGCTTGGCTGACAAGTGCTGGTCGTGATTTGTTAAAAAGAGGGCGGCATCCAAATCGAAACTAAGGGTCACATTATGGTTACCATACCATATAAGCAAACCGCTTCGATTTAGGCGCATCCAAGAAGCGTATCATCTTCTCAAAAACCTGCAACGCCTTTGCAATTCCTTTATTATGAACATTCGTACATGATCACTTCGGAGTTCCAGTCGCACTAGTTATTCCCCTTTTATCTTAGTAATATTATAAATGCGAAAGTATAGATGGATGGATGTTTGTTAGAGGGACTAAACGTCTGACCGGATGTCGATGAAATTCAGTACAAACGTAGAGGTTAGTCTGGAAGAACACATAGGCTACTCACTTTTGTTTTTGTTTATTCCACGCAGACGAAGTCATGTTCGAAAGCTAGTTAAAAATAATTGGTGATCGAAAACTTGGAGAGTCGACTCTAAATAAAAGGGAAAATGACAGAGATATAAGACTATACGTACATACTTTTCTAAACATGTAGCAGCGGTGATGACGACACATCTCGCGATGATGGACCCGCCACAAACAAACTCGTTGTTCACATGCACGCTCGCTATGAAAGGAAACTTGCGTGCAGAAGTCTTTCGACCTTGGAATAATCTTCTAGCGTTTGTATTAAAGTCATCTGTTGCATTGGGAGCATCTAGAATTTACAAACATCAAGACGTCGCATCGCTTTAGGCAATCCGCTATACATTTGTCCCCTACTGATTGGATATCTAAATCTAATTAAAACAAAAGAACGTCTAATTCCTCCAACTTTGGAATTTACGATTATATATCGAGAGGTATTTATGAGGCCGCTGTTAAATAGAGGTTACTATTTGACTTTATCTAACATTAGCTTTGCTACTCCGTCCGAGTAGAATACAAAAATAACAAAAGTGAGTAGCCTATGTGTTCTTCCAGACTATGTTCTACATCTGTGACAAATTTCAGCGAGATCCGTTAAGCAGTTTAGGCAACAAACTCTAACAAACATCCATCTAAACTTTCACATTTATAATATTAAGTATGATTAGTAAGATAGTGCTTTGTCATAATTCTATCACGGATGTAAAGTCATTATTGTATCACTTACCCCAAACTTTAAGATTTGGAATTTTCTTGTCCCGATTATTATGTTGATTTCTTCTTGTAATAAGCTTTGAATTTGTCTGGTCATTTAAAATTAAATTATTAATTTTACTAACAAAATTACATGTAAAATTTTCAATCATAGTCGCAATTTCTTCGACAGTTTCATTATCAGATTTATTTACACCAGCGCATATTTTTTCGTATATTTTATTTTTATATTCATTATATGATGTTTCATTAAACATTTTATTGAAATCAATAATATTGAAAATTACTTTATCGTAGAAATCAGCTTTACTATTATTACGTATATCTTCAAACATTTTGCTATGTTTAAAAGATTTTCTCTTCACTTCTCTACACATTAATAAGAGTTTTTTCATATAAATATTTCCGTTCAATTCTTTAGTATTTATCATAGATGTTATTATTTTATTCACAATGTTGTAAACATTTAGGTTAGTTTCTTTTGCTCGATTAATCGTAATATTCTCTAGAAATCCTATTTCAAATGCATTCATAAATACAATTGTAAAGAAGTATAAATTGTATGAAAACATATTCAATTTTTGTTCACTGAAATATTCAATATTTCTGTACTACAAACAATTACTTTTAAATCATAAAATGGAATGTAACAATATCGTTATTGAATATTTTCACTACGAAAGGTAAAGAATAAAGTAACAAACTAGCTATACAACCGTGATTTCGTAGTTTCGTTTCAGCTGTACAATAAGCAAAGAAAGCAAAAATGACGTTAAATTTCGTTGCGCGATTTTGAGCTAAACTATTTAACTACGTCGTAGTCTTTGGCTCTAAAAAAAAAACAAAAAATGGGACCCACCAGCAAGCATTACCTTTCGGGTATAAAAAGAATTATCAAAATCGGTCCACTAGCGGCGGAGTTATGACGTAACAGACATAAAAAAAACATACAGACGAATTGAGTACCTCCGTCTTTTGGGAAGTCGGTCAAAAACATTGCTATAATTCTTTCATTGTTCAAAATTCTGCTATAAGCCTGTCCATGTCTGAAGGTCATTGGTTTCTTCGAAGATCGCTATTTTACCATCTTTTTCTAAACAAAGTTACTCTAAAAAGGTTACACTCTTTAACAACTTAATAGCAATAAAAAATAAAAACAAACGTCACTCAAAAGTGATTTCAACCAGCAAAATGTCATACGCATTATTAAATTTATGCAAACGTAATATTAACTGCATTACTAGAGCGATTCACAATAAATGTAGGATTGGTTGCAGGGATGTGGTTGGTCATGGCGTCAACGGCAGCGCGACATATCGAGATGACCCTCTCTTTCCATTCCCTAGTGTGAGGTTCAAAGAGAATACAAAGGATATCAGTGTATGTTCCAATTACTTCTACTTAACTAGGATTGACTAAAGGCCTGCACACACAGTTTTATCTCAACATTCAGATCTGATAAATGTAAGGAAACTGGGAACAGTTCAGTTCTACAAATGTACTCACAAGTTTGATTTATCTAAACAATCCGACTGTTCAGATAAAACTGAGCTTGTGTAGCGGGCTTTATTAATGCCTAGAAACTAGTGCTAGTCTATGAATGACAGCAGATCGTTTTGTTGAAGTCCTAACTCAGCGTTTTACATAGTCAACTTTTTACCCTCATCGGCTGTTGTCTACAATCTACAAACTACACCATACGATGGCCGGCAATCTGGTTTTCGCAAAACAATCTCCTTTGCACAGCGACGTTGTTGAACGGTCTGTTCTCGGCGGTATTGTCAAACTGCTACAACTTAGGGTTTTTCAAGAAGTGAGCGTAGCACCTTTAAAGCTGGCATAGCATCTGATACTTTGGTATTACTGATGTCCATGGGCGTCATTACCTCAATATCGTCCCGATCATTTATCGGACGAACCCTTACTGTGCTAGTGCCCACTTTACTATAAATTTGCTTATAAATTAAAAGCTTATTTATAGGTTATTAGCTCTGAAACCTATAGTTATCCTTCGTAAATATGACTTTTACGTATACAGGCTCTACGTGAGAAAGAGAAAGGTGATTGGAGACAGTTATGCTGCGAAGAGAAGAAGTCACTCTACCGAGCATCTTTCTGCCAGACGTTCGCGGAGTTCCAAGCCCCAACTGGCACTTGGAAGTTTATAGCTGGCTGGGTGGTGATAGCTACTTCTTTCGCTTGGTGGTTTGTCATGTATTTTCACTATTACGGTAAGTTTAAATAATTCTTTTACCTAAAACTTTTTAGCAAAAGGTTATCGTGGTATGGACGAAGTTACAACAATGGTAAAGCCCGCTTTAACATCTTCGTACGAATGGCCCGGCTCGCCCGGTGTAATACCACGACCACACAGAAAACAGGCGTGAAGTGGGAGCAATTCCGCGTTTCATCTGATGAGTGTGGTGCCGAAGGCCTAATTTTGGTCCCTTTTCCTTTCCACCTTTTTCTTAAGAGGGAGGGATGGGAAGGAAAAGTGGACTTAACAGTAGAGGAGACGTATAGGAAGAGTAAATATCCTCTTTATGTGCGTCTCCTCTACCGTCGATAAAGGGTAGACAACGCATCTGCTATTGCGGATGTTTACTGGCAGCGGTCGTTTTCCATTTCGGTGGATTCAGGTGGTCTCGTCTGCCACCTTATGTTATAAAAAAAAACCTTGGACAGTTTGTTTTCATTTTAACACAGTGTACGAGCCACTCCCCGCGTCGTTTTCTAAGCTAGCTCAGAAAGCACAATTGCGAAGAATGCTGGAGCTCCGCGTGAATCCGATAGACGGAATATCCTCTAAGTGGGATTATGACAACGACAAATGGAAGGTACAACACTACATAACTACACTCCTATATAATATTGTTTCACCGCACCTGCGGTCGAACGATATAGTTTATGTAGGGCCATATTAGTAAATTGTTTTGTTCATAATTTCAATAAAAATAGTCTCTTTTCTACCAATGAAATAGCCCTGGACCTTAAAAGGTTTTTGACTGTAGCCCTGGCCGGTAGCCCTGGCCGGTAGCCCTATTGAAATATGAACTTATGTATGTTCGCGTGGAATAAAAAAACAAAAGTGAGTAGCCTATGTTTTCTTCCAGGCTATCCTCCACATCTATGCCAAAATCAATCGAGATCCATTCAGCAGTTAAGGCTACAAACTCTAACATCCATCTAAACTTTTGCTTTTATAACATTAGCAAGATATTTAATTTTGTATTTGTTACAGGACTAAACTTGTGGACCTTAATATTTACGACTGAGGATAATTTCTAATTTGGTACACTTATAATTTCTCTTCAATAAATTGAATTAAACGATAATGTAGTTTTATTTAAAAATATGATTTTGCGTTACATCCTACTTTATAGTGGTTAATCTGTCAGTGGTTTTTGGTAGAGAACTTCAAAACGCTTGCATTCTAAAGCCGATAAGTTCTTTTTTTTTATAACATAAGGTGGCAAACGAGCAAGCGGCCACCTTAATCCGTCAAAATGGAGAAGCGACCGCTCCGCACAAACATCCGCAATTGCAGATGAATTGCCTACCCTTATCCGACGGAAGAGACGCACATAAAGAGGATATTTCCCCTTCCTATGCATATCCACCGTCAAATCCACTTCCTCTTCCCATCCTCTTATAAGAAAAGGATGGTAAAGAGAAAGGGACTAAAATTAAGCCTCCGGCACCATTCTTGTCAGACGAAACACGGAATTGGTTCCATTTCACGCCTGTCTTCTGTGTGATCGTGGTATTACACCGGGCGTGCCCTGCAGTGCTAAGATGTTAAAGCGGGCACTACCACTGTTAGGGATGTCCAACAGATCAATATTTTCCAACATACAAAGTTGTCTAATAATCTATTTATATTGTAATATACAGGATGTTTGGTTAGCGATGCGTGAATTTAGAAACTGCGATTGTATATATATGAGTAGGTGAGTAATTATTGTTTGATTCGATTTCTTCAGTTAACAAGTTGAAAGGGATAACATGAAGTGTGCTGTAAGTGTTTTACAATATCTTAACTTATATTTGGTTAATTATTATCTTTATGTTCTTAATACTCAGAGTTGAATGAATCTAAATAAAGATTTAGTCTTAAAAATGAAGGTCATTAGGGCTCTATTAGTGACCAATTAACGTCTCTAAGTACCTAAATTGTTTAAACTATCGTGAGACATTATTTAAAATTAAGAACGGCTTAACTCACACTTTTATCCTCCGGTGATGGCACCGACTAGTTTCGGACCCTTCGGGGGTCCTTCTTCAGAACGAGTATTAATTTGTGACCGCGACGTAACCACGAACAAAAGCTAATTAATACTAATCCTGAAGAAGGACCCCAGAAGGGTCTGAAACTGGTGCCGTCACCGAAGGATAAGTGCGTCTGTTGAGTCGTTTTTAATTTTCGTATCTAAGTATGATAGTTTTCTAACAGTGCTATCCCACTCACATATGATTTATGGTTATTTATTATTTAAAATTCAAACTATATGTGACATTTAACGTCTCTGAGTACGGTAGTTAATCTACTTTTTTAATTATCACTTAATTTTCAGGTCGCCATAGTGCTTGCCCTGTTCGGCCTTTCAGTGGCCAATCCAGTTGGTCATGGTAATTATTGATTTTTTATCCTTTAAAAATATTTGAAGAACAATTATTCTTCGTTAGTAAAGGAATACGTAATAAAATAAGCAATCACGCCCGTAATCCAAAGGTGTGAATATTCAGAGATTACGGCTTTAGTTGTAGCTATAGTCACTTGTTTCAATATTAATATACATACAGTGCTGGCGTTAGAGTAGGGCGCGGTGGGATCGCCCAGGGCGTTAACAGATAGGGGCGTCAAAGCGAATTATAGTCTCACCAGTTAAACCTTCAAAGGAAGGTAAAAATGAGTGCCATAAAATACTCGTCCAGGGCGCTACGAGTGCTAAAACCGTTACTGACTAGGTAACACGTATTGGAGTACTTTTAAACAGAATTTTAGTTAATCATTGGTAGATATTAAAATAAATGCCCTAAAGAGCGTACTTCTAAAAGGCCGGCAATGTAGCCGTGGTTCCTTTGATATTGCGAATGTTTATTTAACACGCATATCTCTTGCCCCCTTTTCTGTATTATCTCCTAGGTTATGGGCTTGAGTGCTTATTGATGAAAAACTGACACCATACCCCTTTTGCAGTGAAGGGATTCGCGGCGAAGAGATCCTTACGCGTTAAGAAATTACACCAGCATAAACCTCGATGGATTGGACTCTAACACATCTATACAACCCCGTAATATCTAGTTACTCAGGTTGAAGTTGATATAGATAGAATAAAGACGCACTCATAGACCCGTTTTCTACTAAACAATTACCAAGCTATCCTTGAAAAGCGAGGAACTATTTCTTAAATGGATTTTAGAGGTGAACATATCTAAAAATGTGAGATTGTAATTCTGAAAATACACAAAAATATGCCTAAGGTCCAAGGCCATGTCAGTACCGGTTCTATGTTCTACTATCGCCCTGGGCGAGATTAATACAGCGCCCTATTTTTTACCATGACTGAGGGAAGGTATTTAAGTGTTGTGTCAATGTAATTTGCAGACTTACAAGGAGTACACTCCTTTATATCAAGCGTCCTGGGCGGCTCAAAGCGCCGTATCCTAACGCTGTCACTGTCTACAGTCGCGAGCGATTATTTGCTTAGTGAAAATAGGGTCTAAGTAATATTTATTTCACAGTCACATCACCAGCTGTCTCAGGATATACAAGCGTGATCAACCATGGTATAACCGTACCAGTCATCCAAATACCACGGGTTTATATTGTACCTAAAGTGCATGTACCAATCATAACCTCTATTTACCCCAGCTTGGGTCACGGCTGGTACGGTCACTGATTTTAATAAATAAATCAAAATACTACTTCGCCAATCGATTTCTTTAACCAATTGTTCAATAAAATGTTTACGATCTGTTGCGTTGTTTTATTTCAATTGTTTTTTAAATAAATAAGATATTACATTATTGAAATATGCAATCCAGTGAATATTTCAAAGATGTTGATGCGGAATAGAATTGTGACAATATTATTGTTAGTGGTTGACATATTATTATGTCAAACCCATGACGAATCAATTAATTATGTATCAGAAACTTCTGACGATAGTAAGTTTTTAAAATAATATTAATTAAAGAAAATAATTCTATATTACTAGTAATTTTCACTGTAAACAAACTAGTATGATTATAAAAGATAAAAAATCAAAAAGAGTTAACACAATTCTAGAAGTTCCGATATCTTCTCATGCTTCGACTCTACTAAAACATTTTACAAACATAATGTTCGTAAGATACGGGTTTCTTACCACGATTGAATTGACACCGTAAGTGTAGTTTGTCGACAGCAAACAGCTAGTGTGGACTTTAGTGAAAACGAGGACAGTAATAGTAGTGGTCACCAACTTTTTTTTTCACACTACCGCATCACTTCAGTCAGCCCGTGAACATGGCGCATGCAACTGTGCCGAAATATCGGGAGCTAAAACAATTCAATCGTGGTAAGAAACCCGTATCTTACGAACATTATATTTGTAAAAACCACGACAGTTTAAAGTTATACATTTTACAAACCTTTCTTTGTGAATAAAGAAACTGATACGACATTGTAGATGTAGTTGATTCGGCAGTCAAAACCCATAAAAAGGTACACCAAAACCATTAGGCGTTAGGGTAGGGCAAGATGCAGCCGCCCAGGGCGCACGTAGACGCTACAAGTGACAGACGACTTGGTGTCCCTTTATGTCTTCATATGGCTTTTTAGTTCAGTTAATAACTCGCCCAGACCGCCAAAAATGCTAAAACCATCCATGACCTTAGGTTCTTTTAATTGGGTTTCTGATTCTTAAAAAAATGTTGCCTCTAATTACGACACTTACTCGTTTGCATTAGACTCATTAAAGTATATTTAGTATGGAAAAATCTGTAGTTAAAAATAAAAAGACTAACTAACTCAGTACATTTTAATCGCCAGTGGAAGAAGAGCCTGTTCGTAGAAGTATGAATGGAAAATATAAGAAATACAACAGCTTGTCTATAGATCTCGCGCCTTCAGAGTCCAGTATGTATATTAAAGAGATTACAACAGCGGCGAAGGAAACTCCGGGTAAGTTTTAACACTTCAACTTAACCTAAAATATAATTCATACCATAAATAACACTTTGCTGTCGCAATCTTTTCATAACCTATAAAATAATAGAAGTCAGGATCAGTTAATTTTTAGTTAAAATGCCTAGGAATGAATTCATAATTATTATCTTCTAATTTAAATTAACGTATTTCTGCTAGTTATGGGCATTCGCAGGAAAATGCTCGATAAAAACAGTGAATACGAAAACAAGAAGCCCATCGAGCAATTACTAAATGCGGTCAGCCAACACATTACTATGAAATCCGCAATTACAAATGAAATAAAGAGTAAGTTTCATTCATTTGTTCATTCGTTTGAACGTCTTGTATACAGAATTCGACGTTTTTAAATGTGTCTGTGTGAAAAAAGGACAGCCAGTGGTTCTTCAGTTCCATAACTGATATTGTTTTTAACAGCGCCATCTAGTATTGGAACAACAACAACAACAACAACAACAGAAGAACCAACATCGACAACTCTCAGCAACCGTCAAATACGCAGAATCTATAACCCCGATGAAACCGCTTCTATAGAAGACTATCCATTCATGGCTGTTCTGTTGATGAACGGAAAGCTATGGTGTGGTGGTGCGATTATAGAGGAAGACACTGTGATGACCGCAGCACATTGTATGCAATTGTAAGTGTAAATAAGGTTCAAAATTCTAGATTTTTCTAGAACAAATTTTGAATTAAAAGTATCTTGAACCACTCTGTGAAGACATTAGGGCCGTGGCCTCTATTAAATATAAGAAGAGCGCGCTATAAACTTAGCTAGAGAGTAGCTAGAGATTTTATGGAGCACACTACTCGATTTTTGTTTGTGCAGCTAAACAGTTGAATTCGCTTGAACATAACAATCGCGCAACGTTTTGCGATAGTTTAGTCAAAGATGTGCGCCGTTCTAAATGTACTTTTGTTAGTGCTTTAAAAACACGTTCAATTGAAAAACTGCAAATGCTATTTTTCTCGCAACATCTAAAGATTATTTTAATTATTTTAATACTAGTATATTCTATTCATCAAGATTAAATATTTTTTTAACTGTTAACAAATACCCAGGCAGTACAACAACCGATTCTTCCGTGAATACGTCAAAATGCTGACCGTCAGGGTCGGCTCCAACAACGCGACCGCCGGTGGTCGAGTCTACCGTGTCACTGATATCTTCTTCCATCCAAACTACAAGCCAAATACGTTAGAATTCAACGTAGCTGTTGTCAAACTACATAAGAATATAACAATTAAAAGCGAAAGGAATGTGGATGTTATTGGACATTCCCGCGAAAAACTCATACCAACAGATACAGAGGTTACTTTCCTAGGATGGGGTTCAGTTTGGGTGAGTACTTGGCGCTTCAATTGGCACGTAGAACAGAAGAAAACTCTAAATTCTAACGTGCCAAATCAAATACTTAGAACTCATAAACTGACGATATGTAAAGAGGTTATGTTGGGAAGGAACTAGGTTCCTAATCTTAATAATGGACATCTTTGTCCTTGAGATAGTCATTAACTATTTTCTAATTATATAAAATTGGATTTGTTTTTAGTGTCTTGACAATACAAGATTGGTTACTAATTATTTTTGGAGCTACGCGTTAAGTATAAAATCTACTAAACTTTACTAAATTATAGGGTCACGGTAGTATTGAAGAACAAGTTTTGCTGCAAAAGGTAGTTTTGCCTGTCTACGATTTCTCTGATTGCCAGGACGTTTATGGAAAGTGAGTTATTTAAAACCTTGAATAAATGAAAGTTAAAATCTTGTAACAGATTCAAATTTCGTATTTGTCAGCGTAATGGTGGTACTCATGCCAATAGCTGACATACTTGTAAGCTAACTGGCATAAAAGTAGCTAGTGTTAGGAATAAAATTAGTACCGTGCTATAGAATTGGCGCAACTCTAGATTATCGGCATAAACGGCACGTCCCTAGCTGACAGCTGTCAATGGCACTAGAAGTATGGATAGATTGGCGCGTAACTTGAGTCTTGACGAGAAGTATTGCTCTGAATTAAAGGCGACAGTATCAACTAAATAAGTTGTCTAATACTGGCACGATATCTGTGGTAGCTACGGGCATGAAAGTTGAAGGTGATGGGCCATAACAATACTTCATACTTTCGTTGTCTTAAATATTGTTATTTCTAGTTCCATTACTCTAAAACTTTATCTATATCTATACTAAAATTATAAAGATGAAAAATTTGTATTTTTGTATGTATTTGATTCATGCAAAAATTAATAGGGCCGATTTTAAAAATTTTTTCACCATTAGAAAGGTAATATATCTGAGAGTAACATAGGCTGTTTTTTATTATTTTTAAATTTCACGCCTACGAAGTCGCAAGCAACAGCCCAACAGCTAGTGAATTGATAAACTGATTTTTCCAGAGATTTAGTAACACGGACTAACTTTTGTGCCGGATATATAACAATACGAAAAAACGTTTGCAATGTAAGTTTCATTATATTCATACTGTTTTTAATTATGAAAACAATAATAACTAGACTGTAATAACTTCCTACACGTTGCTTATAATAAAACGCGAGAAATCTATTTGAAGTAGATAAAATAAAGATAAGAATCAAGTGTCCCGTGATTGTAGATAACTGCGAAGTACTACATATATCTATCTATCTATCCATAGCGTAAACACACACTTCTTTGTTGCCTAAGATGTCAGCAATTACAGCGTATTTTTGAATAATTATTTTTGTAATAAAAAGCCCTACACTTACGTCACGCTTTAGGCTATATATTTTCACGCTATTAAACTTAGGGGGTAAATATTTTGGATAAAAACCCTAATGTGGGAAAGAGATAATAAGTTGCTGCCAACATTAAGGAAACAAGATTGCCAAGGTTTGTCATGTCATGTCAGTTTGACATTTGCTATTGGTAATTTGACAAATGAAAACAATAAAATAAAATTTTTATAATTTCATGGGGATGAAGCCGCACGGGTACAGCTAGTCCTAATATAAAATATGTAAACACCTTTATTCCACTAAACTTTACTCCAACAAACGGCCGCCATTTTGAAAGCTAGTGAAAAAGGAGTCTACGTACTATAGAATTGGAGATCGATTGTGGTTGATAGCTTAGTGTGTCCTAACATTAGACGTCCAATTAATTTGCTCCATATTCTACAAAAATCTCAATAAATCTTCGACCCTAAATTATTCACTCTCTAGCACGACGCGGGAGGTCCAGCTATAATGGATGGTGTGCTAGTCGGCATACTGTCTTTCTCTGCTAAGAGATGTGATAAGCCAGACAAACCTGCGGTATTTACTTCTGTCGGTGCTGTTGCCGATTGGCTGACAAATGTCGACGCTAGGAAGAAAACAAGGTAGTTTTTTTTTAAACATCGCTACTGTAAGTTATGGCAACATTAAAAAACATTCTTGTCTATAATCTTTGGTACTCATAGATCTGAACGGGTTGATAATTTTTGTTTTCTTTTACAGATATTTAGAATCAAAATATCCAGAGAAAATTTGACCGAAAACACCAATGAAACGAATTGTTACAATCAATAATATATTTCTTCTAATAAAGTACACCAACTTTCTACTCGATAAAGACGAAGATAAAAAAAAAACTTTCAAAATCTTCGTAGTTAAACATTCATTTATTTCTATTAAACATACAACATGGAATAATAATATAAGTTAAAATATGCGTTCATAGCGGACCGATGTTGAAGTTTCTTTTCTGGAATGATATCGAGCTGATTTCTGAGTAAACATTATTAATATTAAGTAATAATTAATTTAATAAGGGGAAAAAATAAGCAAACTCGTTCCGTATATCGAGTATGGCGGCCATTTGCATTTCCCGCGCCGCGCGCTGTCACTTTGACGTTTACGCGCTCTAACATTGTGCCAAATGCCTACAGATTAAAAACAGTGTAATAACAATAAGAACTATAATTGAGTTCGCATTAAGATTTAATAGATGCGAAGTTAGCATAACAAAATGCCTTATTGTATGCGGTAGTTAATGTGGAGCTCCGGTTTGATGTCATACACCAAGTTGAGGATGTCAGCGATTACCTGAAAGTGTTGCCAGTTGCAAATATTAAATTAAATTAAATTTTAAGATAATTAGAGAGTTTGAACAAGATGTAAAAACCAAGATTATTGCAGTTTGAACTTTCAATCTTAAACTACTTTTCATTAGAACTATAATTAAGGATCTGTGAATTATTAGCACCAAAAAGAATGTTAAGCAAGTCATAAGAAGCTTGTTAAAAATATGTATGGTAACTGGTTACTTACGGCTTCCTTCTGGTTCTGTACCATTTTGTTCATCTCCTCAATCTTAACCCGGGTCTCAGCATCAATTTTAGCGGCAACACCTTCCCGAGTACCCATGTGCTGGAAAAGACAAATGTCATTACAATACTCATGTGTCAATAGGTGTCGCCAGCTATTAAGCTAGGGATGGGCAATGATCAGTGAGGACTAGTACTAATTTTTTTTATTTCAAAAATGATTATCAACATGTAGTCCAAATTTAAAATGAACAACTGACAAGTAAGGTTGAACTGAATGTGTCTTTATTTATCACTAAATAACATATGTTTTTTATTAGATGATCGGGACTAAGTAAATGAGATTTCAAAAACAAAGTTGACATTAATCTTAATCGAAGAATCGTGATAAAAACCTATAGCTATTTATTCTAGTAAGCTAGGCTAATTTATTAACACTATATTCATGTTTATGAAGGGTTACTCTAATTAGAAACACATTATAATGAAGATTAAATGTACCTTGGCCTCAAATTCTTTGAACTGCCTCTCGCGTTCCTGTCTGTACTTTTCTACCTCATCTTGAGCCTCCTCCTTGGCCTGCTTTAGGCGTTTCGCTTTTCCTGTAATAAACAATTTGACCAGATTAGACCAGATGGTAACAGATAAACAATGCCTTGTACAGAAGTATAGCAAGCAGATCGAGGAGTTGTGGCTGCTTTTGAGGCTGCTACAAGACTACAACCAATCATGAATTAAAAATAACTATACTGGGAAGAATATGAATTGAAACCCTAACTACTGAATATCAATTTAATCTTAAATCTATTTAAACAATAAGAAATAAGTGATAAACATTTATTTTTTTTCTTTCATTGTTCTAGCAATCTTATAAGAATTCTACTTTAGGACATTTGCTAAATTATGATGCTCTATTTATTATGTTTATCAGCTTACCAGACTTATACTCTTATGTCTGCTACACACCCCCAGTTTAAACTAAACAGTCCCACTGTACAGATCAAAATTGACATGTGTAGGCAAAATTTTAGTTGCAGTTCTTTGTCTACACAGTTTTAACTATATAGTATGATTATTCAGTTATAATTGTGTGCACCTTTAGTTATTTCAGTAACATTTTGAATAGTGATTTAAAGAAAGGTAATATGGATTGGCAGATGTTTGTGATCATTATCAACAACTGAAACTGTGAATCGGAGACATTTTGCCATCCCTTAATGACCTTGGAAGTATAAACTAGACTTAGTACTAATTCTAGTATTCAAAGACTACATGAGTTCAGTCAGACTAAAATGTTTATCTAGGGTATATTATATGTACTTCAGTCATATATATATAGTTACAAGCATTCAATGTAGTTTCGTTCTGGTAACTACTTACTAAGTATACAAATATATATTACAGCAATTGAAACGCAAATTTCCATAACTTACATAAGACTAAGTATTTTCATAAGATGTCTGATACAAAGTCATACAAAGGGTAATTAGATATTTTTAAAAATATGAATTCCATGTAGGATAAATCTCAATAGAAAAAATGTACAGATTAAAGGTATTTTTTTATCTAGAACGTATAAGATCTCATAGTCACTATCATGTGACGGTGATCCGAAGACTACGCCCAAATCGTAATTACGAATCTTATATGCCATATACAACTATATATCAGTTATAAATACCTTTTATGAAAGATATAGACAACACAACAGGCAATAGGGAATTAATACGCAATGAACAAATAAAACAATTAACTTACGCTTTCTTGCCTCCGAGACCTTTTCAGCTGCACGTTTCTCAGCAGCCAATAATTGTTGGATCCCCTGTGTCTGGCTCGCCATTTCTAACGATATGCACAAAAATGTGTTACAAGAACTGAGACCAAGACACAAATCGATAGCTGACTGGGTCGCAAAGGAAAAGAGTCATATGATTAAATTAATTCCTACATGTTGTCACAATTGGCGCTGTCATCAGCTCGTGCTTACGCTTACGTGCGTGAAATGGATTGGATTTTAAAAAAAGTTTTAATTTTACCTTGTACAGTTATAGTATTGTGAAGTTTTAAACAAAAAAATATTTATTTTTAATAAGAATCTTATTGCAGAAATAAGCAGAACAATGTTTGCAGACAATAAATAAAGACCTTTTCAATAAACAACTTAAAGGAGAAAACTTGTAACGGAATTTTTAAAGATAAAAACAAAAATGTTGCTAGAAGAATAAAATGTTACGCTTTAATATCGCAATAGATGGCGTTGGCACTATTTTTAAACCAAAATCATATTTTCTTTGACAGTAGAATTAAATGATATGATCAATTTAATATTTGTAGAAAAAAATCAAATTTATCGAAAAAAAATTAAGCGTAAAATACAGGTAAGTGAACAAAATGGATCTGTTTGAAAAACACTAGTTTTAATTTTAATTTTCCTTATTAATTAAACGTGTTTCAAACAAATGTGCACTCAGCTTTGGTGGAAATTCAGAGCACTAGTTCTGTCTCTTTCTCCCTAAAACTAAGAGATGAAAGAGAAACAACACTTCTTACCTGTGAAAGTTTTACGTCAAAATTGTTAACAATACGCATATTACATTGCTGTGTTATACTGAAAGTCAAATCGAACAAAACATTGTGAGCAAGCAATGGTAACTACAAATTACGAATTGCACCTCCAATGACGTAAAGGTTAAGAACCACGACCAAAGCAATTGCTGCGTCACGACGTCACTTCTTTATCATTTCGGTGGCAAACTTAACGTAGTATGGCCGTCGTATGGAAGTATTCACAGTTTTACTTCCACAAAGAATACGCGATAAACATTTCACAGAGCGCGTTGCGAAAGACATTTTTAAACAAATTTTTCACGCGAGTGAGATAAACATTGAAAGTTTAGTGTAAACTCAACGTGTATTAGTAATTTAATAACGTTCGACCTAAATATTTTCATTAATTTTTCGGTTTTGATTTTAATAAATTATCCAAAATGTGGTTAGTTAGTCAGCCGAATTCTGTGATTTTGGAAGTCAAAGTGGACCCTAACTCTATTGGACAAGACTGCCTTGAAAAAGTAAGTAATATTTGCAATATTACGATATATTACAACATTTTAATCTCATAATTTTTAACTAAGTTAGCAAGGAAACCTTTGTTTACATGTAAATCACTAGATATAAACAATTGTAGTTCGGCTGTTATGAAACCAATAACGGCATTAACTTGTTAACATTATATACTCTTTTTGTATTTCATAAGGTAATTAAAGCATTTTTTATCAAGTTTCAATTGTCACTTGTAGTGAAACTATTAACTATCGTCAAAAACCGAGTCACGTTCACACTACAATCGAGACTTGCGGACTTTGGACTCGGCATTGTTCGCTCACCTTACGTATATTTTTTCCATTTAATAAGGTTACTTTTTAATTATGCAGCCGTTTTTATACTGGCCAGTATCATACACTTTATAAATTAATAACGTAGGTGTTTTAATTACTTTATTAAAATAAATTATTGTATGTAAATATGTTTCTGTATATAAAACCATCCTAATAAGATTTCTGAAACTGTAAAAGTTACAATGAATATAACATAACCTCAAAAGACTGGCAAATGTTTTGTTTTTGTTTATGGATGTGTTTCTATATGCTTGATGTTTTGGTTAAACAATATTAGTCAATTACCATGTAATTTGCTTCAATAGAAATCTAAATTCAAATATTTTGGCGCTAAAATTTATTCGCTGGCACGCATTGGATTGTTTCCAAAATGAATTTAGGCTGTTCTGATATTCTCTGATAAGTATTGTCAGATTCATAATTTATTACGGCTCGGGCTTAACTTGTTAAGAAAGGCAGGTGGGTCATTCCGGGTGGAGAAAACTACGGACAGTAATATCCCCTTGCATTATACGTTTCGAAATTATATTGTACGAATAGCGTCGTGCGAAATTCCGAGCAGTCATAAAGTTTGGTTGGAATAATACCCAAATGAGGACTTTTATTTTTATCAAAACAATGAAATGAGGTTTGGAATTTTATTGCGTAAGGTGCCTTATGTCTTTATGTTACCTTAGAAATGATATTTATACTAGTATAAATTACTAAGAAAACAGTTGTTACTGTAATTAAATTTTTCACGTAATTGACATGTGTAAGGTATTTTAAGAATGTTATTATTTATAGAATATTCAAGTGTTCATTCCTTTGCTGCGCTGTTCATAACATACACGATTCAAGAATAACAAGCGGCATATAAAATTTCATTATGTGCTTGGTTTTATAGCGTAATCGGCTTTATTATTGAAATTTATTAATTAAAAAATATGATTTCTTCGTTGATAGCTATAATAATTATTTTTAAAAAACCATAATTAAAATGGTTGTTTATTCACCAGTATTAATTATCTCTATCTCTGATTTTCGTTGCGATGTTAAATAAAATCATCGTCGTTTTGAAACTGGTTAAAGATCAAGTAAATTGCGAGGTTACGACATAATAGTAACTATTGCAAACCTAGCGGTAGCTAGTTCAATGAAAATAATACGATCCGCGCTAAATCGAGGCACGTTATTCACCGGTGATTGTAACCCGGGTCCAAAGTCCACTCAGCAGCTGAGCTCTCTACGCGCCATGCGATCGACACGTGCTCGCTGCGTGATCGAAAAGGAATGGACGCTTTTTGAATTTGGAACGTTGTTCTTTTTTAAGACAATTTTATACTTTTTGTTTACGGCCTGTTTTAAAGGCACGCATACTCTATAATTGACTTAATGTTGCCATTAAAATATGATAAATTAATTGCGTAAATTACTTGCTTATCAAAATAATGTAATACAATCATTTAATAGTAACATAATTATTTTTCCTTAATGAGATAATGCAAAATGTTATAATATAAACAGTTTCTTATCATAGGTCAGATAATGATATTGTTTAAACTTTGTTTTAGATTAATTATACGACCAAATGTAATTAAAAATGTTGCTAGGGAAACAAATATTAATAATTCACTCAAACTATTAAACAAAGATAAGTTTGCGATGAAAAAAGAACAATAATTTATATTTAGATTAATTATTTAATATTCAGATAAATAAATGACGTTTAAATTTTTTCTTTTTAGCGAATTTTAACTTGTTATTTTGGATGCTTTTTCGTCATTTTGTTTACAATGGATAATTTATATCGAAAGTGTTGGAAGGTTAAAATTTCTTTTTTAACAAAATACATTTTGTTAAATACGCTTCTTCTAATTTACGATTACTTTATAAAGAACCTTTCACACATAAAGACATACGTGTTAAAACTATACTCTCCTCAAACTAGCAACATAATTTCGTAAATATTCTTTGTCACAAAATGTTTAATAAGGTTAATAAACAATTAAAACATTTGGCCTGAATTAAATCGAATTAATTCGAGGTTTTACGTAAACTCGAATTAGGGTAACAACCCACTTAGTAGATACCAAACGGTTGCCATATCATAATGTTTGCATTTAACATAACGGTAACGACTAACGTATGTTTGATTATTTTGTTCGTTTCCTCAAACGACAAGACATTATCGTTTTAGGAAATATACTATGTATGTGATAGTCCCAATATTGTATGAAAGAAGATATGGAAGAGTATATGAGTATATGCGACACTAAATAAGGAAAAGGACAGACTGGCGATAATCATCATCCGCCTTATCCTATTCCTGTACGGTCGGCACAAGTTTTTGTCCTCCAAATAACTCTATCATACGTCATCTCAGTCATCACTCACTTGATCATGTCACCTTTCACGCAATCCATCCACTCTTTCTAGGCCTACTCCTACTTAAGTTATATTTCCTGCCGGAGTAATTATACAAAAACCGTAGAGTTTGACTGAAACTTGTAGCGACACCCTCGGAATTAAAAACAAATGTAATGTAAGATGTTACATGTCGAGCATTCCTGCATTCAGAACGTGTTACGCGGAAAATGTACGGGTGGTGTAGTGCTACGGCAAGAATGCTCACCGTGTAACATGTTACACACCGTAACGTTGGACAAAACCTATCTTTACGTGATTTAAAATTCCCTTTGTCATTCTACTAGTGTTTCTATGAAGGATGTCGTTATTTTTCCTGCAGTCGACATTAATTCAAGGTAAAAGGAAACAAACCCAAAGCCTTTTCATGTCGTTATCTTTTTAATTAAAAAATATTCTCATAATCGTTAATGACTGTAACTGTCTTGTTTTAATTAACCTCATAAGATATTCGATGACGTTGAAAACAATTCAAATGTTATTTTTTTTAATAATAGAACTGAAAACAAATACGCGCCGTTGAAGACGAGATACCTTTGTTCCTTTTTTGTAAAATATTAATATGTCATAGCAATATAGATGCTAAATTGTATAGCAATTAGTATAGGCTGGGCCCAGATTGCAAAATAAAGGCAGCGACGAAAGCAACACGGTGCATAGGGCACCGGTGCGTTCTTCTGGAGATCCCGGGATCTCAAATTGCACCTGAGGTCGGCCACCGAGGTTTTTGGTGAGTAAAAATCTCACATAACCCTGTCTTTTTAAAAGTGTATCGTTCGAAGAATACCCCCCCCCCCTCCCGATACCAAAAAAAAATAAAAAATAAAAAAGGTGCTGAAGGTGATCTTAAGTGGAGGGTAAATTTAATTCTCTGAACACATTTCATTTATAGGTATTTAAGTACACAATGACGTATATTTCGTGTCAACAATATTCCTAGAAATTTCGCAATTTTACAATTGCTAAATGTCATTGAAAACATGTAAATTACAATAGGTATGGTGTCAAATTTAATGCTTATTTAAAAGTAAATAAAAGTGCTGACAATACGCAATTAATTAGAAATAGGAACGTTACGAAATGCTTTATGTGTAGTTTTTAAAAATGATGTTTCACCTAGTTTTTGTTTGTCAGTGGAAAATAACCAAGTAGAACAGCATGTAACTATTATTGCAAAATTGTTAGCAAGCGATTTGTCCCATATAACACCTTTCACGCCACTACAAAAATAGAAATAGACTCCAGGCAAGTCGGCATTGAGTGTGTTAACCTAAGTATTGGACTGGATTTTCCAACTTCAGTCATAAATTGAAATAAAAAATCTCTTAAACTTTTATTGCTAGGCATAAATCATTTGATTGGATACTAAAATCATTGAACCTCTATTTGGACTTTACAATTGGGTACGTGGACTTTGTCCAGTGACGTCATATTGTCATGCGGGTATAATAGGATTCAAATTTTATAGCAGCTTGATATAGGCGTTATACACGGGTGAGTTTTACGCCGCTTGAAAACGCAGGAATACGCTCGGGAATAAATCCCACATCCCTTTACGTTCCAATACCTAAGGTTACGTTGTACATTGTGTCGAAATTGCGAGCAGCCTTAAAGTTTTAATGGTATTATACTCCATTTTTTTTGCATATTATTCTTATTCTATAGAGATCTAGAGAATTGGACTAGCAATAGTTTTACATTTGCAGTTTAGTTTTTTTATTATTTCTCTATGTTATTAATTTATTCAGCAACTAGGCCAATTGGCACTTGCTCGTGGTAACCCAATTTAAATGTTTGAAGCTCTTGAAAATAATTCAATCTGATAGTTTGAACATTGAACCTTTACAAGAGTGGACTTTGTACGGATAGTCCTTGATAATTAGTGTTATGTTTCATTTGTTTGGGAACTCATGGTTATATGAGTGTCCAATATCAACATATGAATTAAAACTTCTATCTCTCTCATTTACTTTGATATTAGAGAAAAAACAATATGTTTGGGTGTACAGCAGTGGTGACCATCATCATCACAGGAAAAAGAACCTTAACCTAACTTATTTTAAGTTCCTTATCAGGTTTAACTAGTTTACTGAGAACAAAAATAGGAAACGATCATATAATGATGGCCACTTACAAAGATTTGTTTTTCCTGAGACTTCATCCGCGCGTAATTAAAAAAAAAAAAGCCTAATTTAATCGGACCTCCTTAAGTCGTTTTGAAGATAGGTACTTAATAATCCACGCCTCCATCTATCCAAACTTGCATT